TGGTTATTGATCACTGACAGCTGATTATTGATACCTGACAGCTGCACATTGAAGCTGTTAAACCTTAAACCTCACATATTTAACCCTGGAGTCGTACTGAAGCTCATTTAGGTCTGACTCTGTCCCATGAGGCAGGAAATCCCTTTAATAAGAACAAATCAAAGTGAATCAATGCTCCTGATTGGACGTTCTCTGTAATAAATACCAATAGGTAATCAATGTTTTGATCAGTGATCTATCAGCTGCAGTACCAGCAGAGTAAACGGACTGAGTAGCACAGCAGAACCGAACAGTCCAGGTTCCCTGTTACCTTGGAGATCCACCTAAGAAGTCTCTACAGATGCTTAAGGTGGAACAGTTAAGGTGGAATGTTCAGGGTTGAAGGGGCAGTTTAATGAGTGGGATGTTGAATCTCAGTCAGGTGGTAAAGAGTTAAAGAGGAGACGCCACAGTTTCCCTCCAACAGCAGATTCTTGTCTGATGACTTGAACATGTGGACACACACGCCGGTCTTTACGCCTTTGTGAGGACCGTCAGTTACATAATTCATTTACGGGACACTGATGTGAACCTGGACCTGGTTCTAACATGTGCCTGATACCGGATCTGAACCCAGTTTGTGAGTGTTGTCATATTTACAGAAGCAGGAATGTGGAGATGGTCTGGGTCAGTTCAAAAAAGTTCACAGCGTTCTTATTTCCTCTGACGCATCAAAATCTGCTCTGACGGAACATTCTTTAGTTTTTTACTTCAGAGTTCGTTGACCTGCAGCTGCAGAAACTCTGAGGAAGAAGATTTGACTGCAAAAACAAACACGACGGCATCTGTAGAGCTGCTCACCTCGAACAATAAATAACCAACACTTTCTGTAAAATGATCTGCTCACAGAAAATGGTCCAGTTAGACGAACTCACCTGGTTTCAGGTAAATGTGACACCAGAAGGCCTGATGTGACTCTGCTCAAACTACTTTTTGGTTTCTGTTGCAGGAACTGATGGAGACTAGAGGCTTCTCTGTCTGTGAGGCGTTTTGAATAAAAACAGGCTCTCTGTCGGCAGTTACTGGTTTGATCATTAAATCAGCAGCTCAAAGATCTGAATCCACACATGGAAACTGTTTCTGCTGTTTGTCAGAGGTGGCGAGATGAGGAGGGTTCCAAAGAGCTTCTTAAAACCATTTCTGATGTTCTATGTCCACCCAAATTGTTCTAGAATGATTAGTTTAAAGATACCTGGAATTTTTAACGTAATGTCACAGAAAAGCAACATTTGAGGCCTCATCAGGATGTTTGTGTGTTTGTGTGTATTTACAGTCAGGATGTTTGTGTGTTTGTGTGT